CCCTGCTGCCTTCACTCCTCCCTCCCTCCCCTGCTCGCACTCCTCTTCCCCTCCCCTGCTGCATACACTCCTCTCCCCATCCCCTGCTCTCCCTCCCTATCTCCCTCCCCTGCCCTCACACCTCCCCCCCTCACCTGCTCGCACTCCTCTCCCCCTCACCTGCTCGCACTCCTCTCCCCCTCACCTGCTCGCACTCCTCTCCCCCTCACCTGCTCGTACTCCTCTCCCCCTCCACTGCACTTGCTCTCACCCCTCTCCCCTTTCCCCTTCCGCTGCCCCTGCTCTCGCTCCCGCGCTCACGCTGCTCCCTCCCGCGCTCACGCTGCTCCCTCCCACGCGATCACGCTGCTCCCCCCCACGCGATCACGCCGCTCTCCCTCCCGCGCGCTCACGCCCCTCTCCCTCCCGCGCGCTGACGCCGCTCTCCCTCCCGCGCGCTCACTCCGCTCTCCCTCCCGCGCGCGCGCGCCGCTCTCCCTCCGGCCCTCACTCCGCTCTCCCTCCCGCGAGCTCACTCCGCTCTCCCTCCCGCGCTCACTCCGCGCTTCCTCCCGCGCGCTCACTCCGCCCTCCCTCCCCTGCCCTCGCTGTTTCCTCCTTGCTTTCGCCTCAGCCACTAGGTTCTGTCGCGTCACTCCGTCCCTGCTATCGCGTCTCTCCTTCCCTGCTATCGTGTCTCTCCGTCCCTGCTCCTGCGTCACTCCGTCCCTGCTATCGCGTCTCTCCGTCCCTGCTATCGCGTATCTTAGTCCCTGCTATCGTGTCTCTCCGTCCCTGCTCCCGCGTCACTTCGTCCCTCGGGATAAATTATGCGCGGTTCGCACTGCTTAGCCGGTCGTCACGGGATCTGCGGCACTATCGCTATCATTCCTTATGGCGCAAAATTTCGTCTGGAGCTTGGCTACGCGCGCGAGAAACCTATTATGCTGGCTAGTTTCTAGTCACTGGTCGGTCTCGCCTGGGTCCCAATTTACAAAAATTGATAGCAAACTTTCCCTTAGCCATTGGTGCTGAGAGAGAGCCAGGGGTTGGGCTGCTTGGGCGAAGGTGTTTGCTTGCCCTTTCAACCAATCACGAGCCCTCTTTTACAACCAACGCGTCATTGTTCAGTTTCATCCGGGTGCATGGGGTTACCAACATTTTTGCGCCTCGATATTGCTAGCAAAAAATCTCGCGCCTTGCAACTTGGGATCTGGGCTTTAAGTGAGTTTGGTTCGGTGTAACAAGGGTTAGTTTCAGTGACCATACTTCACCAAGCTGCATTCCTCCCTATCGTACTGTTCTCACCGTACCGTTCTGTGCCACGAGGAGGGGGCCTCGTTGTGGCATCTTCTGCATAGCAACGTTTCAGCCGTCGGATGCGATCGAGATCGTCGATCTCTCCGCTGCGACCACCTCAGCTGATGCAGCAGAGCAAGGGAATTTCGCGCTGGCTGGGTGGAATGCTTGAGCGACTTCCAGCGAGGATAATTCCTCTGGCATCCATCCTCGTGTTAGACTCACAAGTTAGACCACACGACGAAACCAATTATAGCATAAGATAGCTGAGGTGTATGTAGTATTTTAACAGTGGCCCACAATGGTGTGTAAAGCTCTCCATTGTTCGAAGGGGAACCAACTGCACACCTGTCTCATTCACGCAAATGGCAATCAAAAAAGCCACTCATTTAGCACCTATGACTCCAATTCCTATTCGTTAACCAGCCACTACAAAACACGTATCACATAATGTGGCTTACCGTACCTATGAAAACGGGCTGAAAAGTTTCAAAAATTCCGAGGCAACGAGGGGATGTCGGTATGATGGGGGAGAGGAGAGGGAGGTGGGTGACGACAAGAGAAAAAACGCACGGGTGGCTGGCAACCATCTCGTGGCAATCCCTTGCACCCCCACACCCAATAACTACCTTTGAGGTGATCCACCAAACCCCTTGTACTGCAGGCGATGGTGTCAAAGTAGCTAGCTATGAAGAGAAGCCATGGAATGGTCTGAGGGTTTTGGCTAGGAGAAAATGTTGAGAGAAAATAGAATTGTGAAAGTTGCTTAGTCCATCTTGCGAAAGCAGCGTGCTTCATTTCAGATGGATGGCAGCGTGCTTCATTTCACATGCGTGGTTGCATAGTTCTCGTCGCTAAGCGCACATCCATTCAAGGGAGGGTGGGGGGGAACTCAAACTAGAAACTGAAAATGAAGAACGTGGGTGAGGCCGACTGGCCTCACGTCCCTCTTTTGTAGGCAAAAGAGGGTGACTAGCGGCGCGCCGTTACCTTAGCTGTGCTGGCCACATTTTCACTTTCACAATACACAATTTTAGAAAGCATGTAACACTTTAAAATTTTATCATACTGTGAAAGTTGCTTAGTCCATCTTGCGAAGGCAGCGTGCTTTATTTCAGATGGGCATTCTGAGGCATGTGCATCGGAGGTCGCCGGTGTCGCTTGATCGATTGCTGATGTCGGGCTGGTGAAGGGGTCGTTGAGGTGTCTTGTAGTTGGTTGAAGACTGCAACGAGCTGGTCCTGAGCAATGGTGACGTATAGCTCTTTGTGCTATCGCTTTTCCAGCGGCCAAGATGTTTGAAGAGACGGTCTGGGACCCCTAGGCCGGCTGCGGCTGTGGCTGCACCCTTGCGGAAAGAGTGAGTGCTGAGGTGGGAGGCATCGAGGCCGGCTTTCTCGAAAGCTTCAAGGCAGCAGTTGCGAATGGTGGGGTACGAGGGGGAGTTGTCTTGCGGGGTCGCGCGTGCTCCTTTGCCGAATACGCGAATGAGCGGCCCGTGCGGCATGCGCGTAAGGCCGGCAAGCTGAATGAAGTGGCGGGTGCATCGAATAAGACAGCAGGGCCCCAGTGTCGCGGCAACTGGAATCCATGAGCCTTTGCCTTCCTGGTCCGTCTTGGAGTGCGGGATTAGAAGCCACATTACCTCCTCCTCAAACTGTATCTCATTCCATTGAAACGCGACTAGATCAGAGTAGCGCAGGAATGCTGCGAACATGAGACGAGGGATCAGACCCTTCTGGCATTCCGTCGGAATTGTGGATTCGAGGAAGGGTCGGGCCATGCTGTGAACTTGGAGCAGCGAGAGGGGCTCTTTGTGTCTAGTAGGGCGCGGTCTGTGACGTTTGGCGTACTCTCGAACTTGCAGCGTGAAGGGGCTGCTCGTCGAGGAGGGTTCCCATGTCATGTGGTGTGCGAAGGCTACAACGGAGCAGGTGAGGGAAACTGCTGACACGGTAGCGTGATTGTTGAGCGCATGGATAAGGTATAGCGCGAGGATCAGGTCAGTTGCGGGTAAGAAGCTCAGCTTGGTCGTGATACAAAAGGATCGAAATTTCAACCAGTAAGGCTCATACGTTTGGACTGTGGATGGAGCGCGGATTTGGGTGATGACTTGCAATAGTTGTTTTTGCAGCTTGTGCAATATTCCTGAGATTAAATGCACATGAGTTAGGAATTATCTATTATAGTCAAGACTCAAAGCAATTATGTGGCTGTTAGGGAATCCTAAACCCGAAAATGCGGTTGCATGCGTGCCAGGATGCAGACATTGGCTTCCGTGGGTAAGAGGGAGATAAGCTACAACTCCCGATGCCCAAACGTTAGGTGAAGGTTGGAGGAGTGGCCACCAGGATGCACAAGACCTATGGGGAACAACCAAAGTGAACTTGGGTTTGGTCCGTTGTGCATGGCAAAGGATCGCCGGGACTAGGTTGGGTGGTGGAAAGGCAAAGCCGCGCTTGCCGTGCCAGCAGATTGAGAACGCATCAATGGCGGTTGCACCCGGGTGTGGAATCTTGGAACAGTATCGTGGTAGTTGTGCGTTATATGTGTTCGCGGAGAGATCAATAGAGTGGGGGCGCCACCTCCACTCGAGAAGGCGAAACTGGGGGGCTTTGAGTGTGTAGTCGTCATGGTCCTGTATCTTGGAGATTTCATCGGTGTGAGCATTCCAACTTGCGTGGGATCCATTCAATATCGAGGCGTATGAGATTCTCCAAGCAAAGACAGATGATTTCCTGGGATAGGAGCATGAGGGTGGGTTGGCGAGAGCCCCCTTTGCGTAGGATGAATGCGACACCCTGGTTGTCGACCCGCATGAGGACGTGCCTTCAAATGATCCGAGATGCGAATGTGCGTAGCGCCTATATGACGCCTTCGAGCTCCCTCCTGGTACTGGAGGTTGGAAGAAGCCCATCAGGCATCCGAGCGCTGGCTTCGGTTGCAGATCCTGGAAAGGTGGTGAGGGTGGCGCCCCAACTGTGTGCGCTGGCGTCGACGTGGATGACGGCATTGAACTGATAACTTGAGTGGCATGCCGCCCCATTGAATCGATCGAATTGTGTGCGCCAAAACAATAACTCTTCAATTGCTGCCGGTGACAGCAACGTCCTAGAGCTCCAAGATGTGGCGTGGGCGTAGCTCATAGCTGAAGGCGCGTGTTGTCGCACCTAGTGCCAGTGCCATCGATGCCAACATAATGGTAACGCGGACGATTTGCTGGACCGGAATGTGATGTCCTGCTTGTCCTTTTACAATGAGGGCCTGGAGGGTGCTCAAAAGCTGCTCCCGTCGTTCCGAGCCGACCGAAAACATGCCCCGGGCTGTGTCCAACTCTAGACCGAGGAAGTGTAATTTTTGGGATGGATGAAGAAGTGACTCCTTCGCATTTATGACGAAGCATGCTGCCTTGAGGTCCTGTAAAACCTCGGTACATGTGGACCGTGCTTGCTAAGCCGAGTCGCATAGGAAGAGCAAGTCGTCGACGTACAGAACGACCCGCACACTTCGCGCACGCCATCGCTTTGCGAGCTGTTTGATGAGTTGAGTGAAGCCAAACGGAGCGGATGCAAGGCCGAATGGTAGAGACCGAAAGTAGTAGTACTAATTTTCGAAGTGAAATCCTAAGAACCTCCAGCAAGATGGATGAATCTCGACATGATGGTATCCGGACTTGAGGTCGATCAAAAAAAGCCAATCATTGGGCTGAATGATCTCAGCGACACGGCTCAAACCCTCGTACTTCAGCTTGGGAACAACGAGATGCGTGTTGACCTTGCGTAGGTCGAGAATGAGACGGCACTTGTCTCGCTGCTGCACCACATTTAGCGGGCTAACGCACGTGAGCATTGCTTTGGAGGGGGCCTTGACAGCGGATCCACATGCCACGAGTTCACTGATGGCACTGCGGGTAAAGTCCATGTGTGCCCGTGTGCCCGCGTGATTGGTATCGACGAATGGAGCTGGTGCAGCACGTGCCCAAGGCAACCAATATCCTTTTGCGATGATTGAGAGAATGAAGCTGATATCACACCAAGAGCACCACCAGTGTAGTGCATATCGTAATCGGCTCCGCATGATTGTCACTTGTCGATCTGTGATTGCGTATTCGTATGGATCCCATTCTGTGGGCTGCCATGCACTGCCATTAACTGCAGTATGCGTGGGACAAGCAAGGGGAGGTGGGTGTGAGGTCGGCTTGAGATTTTGAGACACTTGAAGATTTGCAACGCGTGATGTACCCGACTCTCGGAAATGTTTATTTCTCCAAGCGAGCATAATGCCGGTGATGGCAAGGGTGATTGCATTATGTGCGTGCCGACTCGTGCCCATTGAGCCAATACAATCCTTGGGTTTCACACCCATCCATAATTCCATTCCCTCGTCCGCTTTCTTCTCTCTCCCTCTCTTTCTTTCTCTCGCTCTCTCTCTCTCTCTCTCTCTCTCTCTCTCTCTCTCTCTCTCCCTCTCTCTCTCTCTCTTGCTCTCCCTCTCTCTCTCTCTCTCTCTCTCTCTCTCTCTCTCTCTCTCTCTCTCTCTCCCTCTCTCTCTCTCTCTTTAACTCTCTCTCTCTCTCTCTCTCTGCCTCTCTCTCTTTCTCTCTCTCTCTCTCTCTCTCTCTCTCTCTCGCCCTCTCTCTCTCTTTCTCTCTCTCTCTCTCTCTCTCTCTCTCTCTCTCTCTCTCTCTCTCTCTCTCTCTCTCTCTCTTTCTCCTCTCTCTCTCTCTCTCTCTCTCTCTCTCTCTCTCTCTCTCTCTCTCTCTCTCTCTCTCTCTCTCTCTCTCTCTCTCTCTCTCTCTCTCTCTTTCTTTAACTCACTCTCTCTCTCTCTCTCTCTTTGTCTCTCTCTCTCTCTCTCTCTCTCTCTCTCTCTCTCTCTCTCCCCCCCCCCTCTCTCTCTCTCTCTCTCTCTCTCTCTCTCTCTCTCTCTCTCTCTCTCTCTCTCTCTCTCTCTCTCTCTCTCTCTTTCTCTCTCTCGATCTCTTGTTTTCTCTTGTGCTTCCCTTTTTCCTTGCTCTCCCTCCCTATCCTTATGCTTCTTCTGTTGTTGCTGGTGTTTTTCAGCATGGCTCAAGGCATGAGTGAAGCATCATTGCCTCTCGACAAATATCCTTGTTGTTTTTGCTTGTTGCTGTTTCGATTGTTTGTGCTGGTTCCGTGAGTGTGTGCACCATGGCTTACCCTTGAGCCATTGCATGTTTTCGGCCAGCAACCTCAAGGAATGTCTTTTGTTGTTGTTGTTGTTGTTGTTGTTGTTGTGGCTGTTGTCGTTGTTGTCGTTGTTGTCGTTGTTGTCGTTGTTGTCGTTGTTGTCGTTGTTGTCGTTGTTGTCGTTGTTGTCGTTGTTGTCGTTGTTGTTGTTGTTGATGAGAGGCATACAAGGAGGGGATTGTACCATCTACAGTAAAGTTCGGTAACCTACCAAGCCTAACAATTATATAACTCAATGTATAATTTAACACAAGGAACTCAAACTAGAAACTGAAAATGAAGAACGTGGGTGAGGCTGACTGGCCTCACGTCCCTCTTTTGTAGGCAAGAGAGGATGAGTAGTGGTGTGCCGCTACCTTTGCTGTGCTGGCCACATTTCCACTTTCACAATGCACAATTTTAGAAAGCGTGTAACACTTTCAAAAATTATCATGCTTTGAAAAGAAGAGGGACACAAGAAGGGGGGTTGTACCCTCTACAGTAGGATCCAGTAACAACTACCAGGCCTACCATTATATATATCAAATATATAATTCAACAGATAGATCGTAGAACAAGCCTCCAAGAGATTTGGCAGAAAAACCAGCTTTTCACTCCTACATTCCCAGATGTCCCCACCACCATACACCCACGCTCAAACCGCTTCCATCTGCCCAGAATATTAGCACTGCACCACTCGCTCGCAACACCCAGAGAGTGTAGGTTTCCCTTCCCTTCCCAGTCTCACTGGCTGGGTCGTGGGCTCTTGGGTACCTAAGGGGGCACAACCACGGCTTCCCTGAATCCCACTGGAGCTACCGGTAGGAAGGCAAAGCAGGCCTTTCGTTCCCTACTGTAGATGCAGCAGGCACCTCCTGCTGAATCCACGGCTCATTCCGAGGGGACTCAAAATGAGCGTCGCCTCGCGTTGCGGTTGCAGGGGACACAGTTTCCCCAGCAACGGAAAGAGAAAGGCAACAATACGACCAGCGCCTACCGCCTCGCAGCACACCGCATCACAGGTCCATGGTAAGCGAGCCCTTGGGCAAGATCCCGAGGCGCATGAGCGTTTCCGCGGCAGTCTTTCTCGACTGGCCCGATGCCGTGGTCATGAAGCGCCCCAGCGCCGCCACCGCCGGCTGCGAGTACTTGGCCTTGCGGAACTTGCCAAACGCAAAGATGCGCTCGAGGATGTACACGCCCACGCGGGTCAGCTCCTTGGACCGCCCCACCATCGTCGCCGCCACCTCCACCGCGTCCCTCTTCACCAGAAATTCTGCAGCGCGCTCGTGGCAGGTGTCGTCGGCGAGCAGGCTCGCGACGGCGGCTAGGCAGACCTCGGCGACGTTGTTGTTGGCGCGGCGGACTAGCTCGAGGAGCACGTCCACGAGGTTGTCGTCCAGGAGGCAGAAGGTGGTGGGCAGGGAGCACTTGCCACCGTGCACCTTGCAGGAGCGGTACATCTGGGAGAGGGGGGCCAGCAGGGACGGCAGACGCATGTTGCGGGAGAGGAGGCTGCGGCCGTGGAGGGAGGACGTGGAGTGCGGTTCGGAGGAGGGAGGGGGAGTGGTGGCCTGTGCTGTGACTGTTGTTGGTGGTGGTGTTGCTGCTGCTGTTCCTGGAGTGTTCAAGTCGAGGGGATGAGGAAACGTGGCATGCGCATGGGAGTGACCCAAGTCAAGAGACGCATGATGGAAGGAGCCACCCAAGCTGCCAGCATTCGGTCCCAAACTGCTCCCCCCATGGCCGCCCCTTGGACCCATCAAGCTGCCGTTGCTGCTGTCGCTGCCGGCCCGCACATGCGCACTGCTGCCAAACAAGTCAAACGCACTGCCGCTGTTGCTCTTCCTGTGCCTCGGGATGCCTCGAACACCACCACCACCACCACCTCCCGAACTCGCACCCGCACCACTCACACTGCTGCTGCTAGGGCTGCTGTTGACCCCAGCCCCGGCCCCGGCCGCTGCCTCACCACCCTTCGTGGCGCTGTGCTGCCGGGCCGTGGAGGTCGGGGACGGGGACTGGCGGGGCGAGAGGGCAGTGGAGAAGGGGAAGAAGATGCGCGGGGAGAGCAGCGCCGCTGCCGAATGTGGAGCCACCTGCAGGTTCAGCGTCTTGCCCCCTCTCCGTGCCCTCACCCCGCTCACTCCACTCACTCCACTCACTCCACTCATGGCACTGCCTGGGATGTTAATGCTGGGTGGGCTGTCTGGTAGCGAGGCGGCCATTCTAGTGCTGTCGGCTGGCTGTCTGTCGGCTTGATTCGATCCATCGTGCTCCTCCAAGCTCTTCCTTCCTGCTTTTGAGCCTTCTTCCATACTCGCACTACCCCCTCTCTGCTGTTGCTGCTGCTGCTGCTGGCGATGCCCCAGCTGTTGGTGCTCGTCCTGTTGTAGTGCATCATCATCATCATCATCATCATCATCATCATCATCATCATCATCACTCTCGAGCTCTTGCCTCAAGCTAACCCTCTCCCCATCCACCCTCCTATTCGCTCCTCCATTCATTCCCCTCTCTTCCCCTTCTCTCTCCCACCTCGCTGCCTTCATAGCAGCAGCAGCAGCGGCAGCCCCCACTTGCGGGTCACTACCAGCACAAGTAGGCACGGCCTCACTTGAATCACCTTGCCCTCGCATGCTGCTTCCTGCCACACCCACAACCACATCCTTACCCTCCCCTCCAACCCCACCCCCACACCCACCCCCACCACCACCCACAGCAGCAGCATTACCCGCAGGCGGTTCTGCTTCTTGCCAAGAGCTCAGGGGCCCCGAAAAACTGTGCTGCTTCGCCTTGTTCCTCAAACTAGAGCCTGAAACCGGTGGCGCAACTCCCAACCCAAACCCCCCACGAGCCGCCCCTACTCTACCCCCTCCTGTTCCGCTTACTGCTCCAGAAGAAGCAGCAGCAGCGGCAGCGGCGGCAGCGGCAGGGGAGGAGTGCGCAAGAGCACGGAGACGGGAGAGGCGTGGGGAGGAGAGAGAGAGGTTTTCTAGCAGACGGGCAGAGGGGATGCGGAGAGCATCGGGGCCCACTCTCAAATGATGCACTGCCAGCGGCAGGAAGCCTAGCTTTGCCACCTCCTGCTGCATTGCATGGTCGTCGGGGTCGGCCAATGCCGCGACGCCACGTAGAACGGCTTCTTGCACGGCTATGGAGGAAGCTGGGCCAGTGGAGGAGAGGAGGAGAAGTGAGGGAGCCTCGAGAATGGCGGGAGGGGGAGGGGGGCGCATTGCGGGGCGAACGGCTGGGCCAAAGGAGGAGAGGGAGAAGGTGGAGGAGGATGAGTTGGATGAAGAGGTGGTGTTGCTGCTGCTGCTGTTGCTGTTGCTGCTGCTGCTGCTGCTGCTACCGCTGCTACTGCTGCTGGTGTTGTTGCTGTTGCTGTTGCTGTTACTATTGTTGTTATTGTTGCTAGTGTTGTGATGAAGACTCACTACACCGGAAGAGGGCGCACTGCGAGGCTTCGATGTAGGAGGTGGCACCGCAAAGCTGTTCACCCCTGGACGGATGATGCTGCTTCCAAAGCCACCCACAGTTCCCATATTCACAGCTGCACCGTTGCTTCCCTCCTCCTCCTCCTCTTCCTCTTCCCCGTCTGAGTTATCTGGCAGGTAATCGGCCCACGATACCCCTCCTATGCCCATACCCCCCGCACCAGCAACGCCGCCACCAACACCTGCAACACCAGCTGCACCAGCTGCACCAGCAGCACCCGCAGCAGCAGCAGTTGTTTGAGCAGCAGCAGCACCATCAGCCTCCCCTCTGCCATCCCTACTGCCACTGCCACCAGCAGCAACCCCCCCTTTACTCCTGCTAAGGCCGAGACTGGATCGCCCGACCTTCTTCCCTCCTCCGCCTAGCAGCGACGCGCCAAGCAGAGACGACCCCCCGCTGCCCCCCCTCTTCCCCCCCCCAAACACCCTTCCTACTAGACGCCCCGACGGCCTCGCTCCAGCCTCCTCCACCACCCCCGCTTGCTGCTGCTGCTGCTGCTGAAGCTCCCCTGCTCCTCCTCCGCCTCCTCCTCCTCCTACAGCCGCTGCCGCCGCTGCTTTTGTAGCGGCAGTAGCAGCAGCAATGGCGGCATCGGCCCCTGGCAGCAGCCTCCGCATGCACAGCAGCAGATGCCTCTGCTTCCGAACCAGCCACCGCATGCCCTTATCCGCCGCCATAGCCCCCAGCACCATCACCACCGCCTCATGCTCCTCCTGCGGCAGGGCCAGCACCAGCAGCTGCCCCAGCAGCGGCACTGCTTCCGGAACCGTCGCCATCGCTGCCGCGGCCATTGGTTCCTTGGCCAAGTGCTGCAGCAGCAGCAGTGCACTGGCCCTCAGCGCGCCCGCCGTGAAGTGCGTCGAGCTCACCGCCCCCCCCGTGGCCCGCACGGCGTCGCTGAGAGCAGAGACAATCGCCCCCACCGCACCCTCATCCTCTAGCACGCTCGCCCTCATGTGCCGGTTCTCCTCGTCCCGCGTGACAAACTCTAACGTTCTCACCGCGTACTCTCGGCTGGTCGCCGGGCCGACTCGCAGCATCGTCAGCAGCCGCACCACTGTCCCCTCCTCGTCTAACGTCTCCAGATCCTGATCGTCCATGGCTAGGTTCGCCAGGGTGGCTTGCGCCGCACCTCGCAGTTCCCCCGGCGTGGTTCGGCCGAGGCAGCGGACCAGGGCCGGGATGACCCCGGCTTTGGCGAGCGCGACGCGGTTGGCTTCGGTGTGGGAGAGGTGCTCGATGGCACGTGCCGCCATGGTGCGCGCGTTGGTGGGGCCGTGCGAGAGCATGTGGATGAGGGGGGGGAGGACGCCGGCTTGCACCAGGGCGATGCGGGAGGCCTTGGTGATGCCGCACGACATAACTGCGTCCGCCATCAGAAGGACCGTGTCCATGTCGTTGCCTGGGGTGCATAGGACGTGGGTGGAAGGGTGGGTGGGTGGGTGGGTGGAGGGGGAGGGGGAGGGGGGGAGGGGGTTGTAGGGACATGTGTTGGATAGGGGGAAGTGAGGCCTTGGTGATGCCGCACGACATGACTGCGTCCGCCATCAGAAGGACCGTGTCCATGTCGTTGCCTGGGGTGCATGAGTTGAGGGTGGGGACCACCTATCTGGGCCACAGACAGAGGCGCCCCACCATGACCCCCCACTCCCTTCTCCCCACTCACACACCCTCCCCCCCCCCCACACACACACACAGCTCGCATACCCGGCGCAATGAGCGTGACGAGCGGGTCCATGAGGCCAGCTGCCGCCATGTGCATGGCCACCGAGGGGTCGCCCTCCCAGAACAGCCGTAGCACCGTGTCCAGCAGCTCCGCCACCTGGGGAAGGGGGGGGTGGGAGGGGGAGGGGGAGGGGGAGGGGGAGGGGGAGGGGGAGGGGGAGGGGGGGACTATGAGCGTATAGGTGCGGGACGGACGGACACAACAGCCGCAGCACCGTGTCCAGCAGCTCCGCCACCTGGGGGTGGGGGGGGGGGGGTGGAGGGAGAGAAGAAGGGCAACGACTTGAGGCACAAGGAGGAGGCTGGTGAGCGGGGTTTTGTTGGCGAATGAGCTCCAAGTCGCCCTTGGCTGCTCCTATCGTCGTCCCAACGGCCCTCGCTCGTGCCCAGCTCATCCATCCACCCACCACCTGCCGTCTCCCAAGCAACCCTCACTCTCACGTGACCTTCCTCTCCCTCCCTCCCCGTATCTCTCCCACTTCCCCACTCCTCATCCCTCACTCTCCACTCTCCACTCTCCATCACCCACCCACCCACCCACGCACCTGGTCGCCGGCGTCCTTGTGTCGGGTGCGCAGGCGGATGAGCTCCAGGTCGCCCTTGGCGGCTCCGATCACCCGCCGGTGACTCTCCCCCGTGGCCAGCTCGTGCACCACCTGCACGCCTGCCATGGCGTCACCAGCGTTCTCTGCCAGCACTGCCACCAGTGGGGCCAGCACGCCATGCTCGATTAACATGTCCTGCGGATGGGGAGGCGCGGGGGGAGGGGGGGGGGCGTGGGGAAACGGGGGTTGAGGTGACATAGGAGTCAGGTCATGCAGCAGCACTGCCATGGCTGCCGTGGCTGCCATGCCATGGCATCGATTGCACCGCCTGCATTCGCTGTTGGCACTGCCACCAGTGGGTGGAAGACCCCGTGCTTGATTAGCATGGCCTGCAGTATGTAGGAGGGGAGGGAGGCGGGGAGGGGTAGAGGCGACTCAGAACTCAATGTGCACAGGAACCAGCCTGTACGCAGCGCATGAGCCTGTACACATGGAACAGGGAGAAAGTGCGCTTCTTGGTATTAAGGGTGTCCTTTATGAGATGGTCAAAAGAAAAACAGCATCCACCTGAGAGCGCGTGTCTGTGCGCCCACTGCACTGCACTCTGCCAAGAACCTTCTAGAAGCTCAAAACATACGCGTACCTGAATATTCCAGAGCACCCCTGCTGTGAGCATTCCAGTACCCATCTCACCTGTATATCCCCCCCCAGGCATGCTAGATTCCTGAGCGACAGTAGCACGTGCTCGCGCACATGCACCCTGCGCTCCCTGCCCAGCAGTGCGATCAGCAGCGGCAGCCCTCCCCCCTCCACGAGCCTGAGCCCCAGCTGCTCGTCCCGCATCGTCAGCACCTCCACTGCCTCCACCGCCATTGCTACTGCCTCCCCCTCCCCCTCCTCCTCCGCCTCCGCCTCTCGAGATGGCTTTCGAGTCGGCTCTAAACTCAGTCCCACCAGCCCATCCCTCACCGCCACCACTTCCACGGCTTCGCCTGCCTCCACTGCCTTCGCTACTACCTCCCCCTCTTCCTCATCACCCTTCCTGCTCGCTCCACTGCCCTCCGCGCCAGCTCTTCCCCCTCCTGCTGCGTCACCCTCTGCTTTGGCTTCAGCACCCGCGGTTACCTCCCCTGCTCCTGTGGCTTCCCCTGCTGAGGTTCTTCTACCTGCAACCTGCTCCTCCTCCCCCTCCTCGTCCTCTCTACCAGTCCTCTCCCCATCCACCACCACTGCTGCTGCTGCTGCTGCAGCTGCTGCAGCCACTCCCTCTGTGACTTGCCCTCCGCCCAAGCTACCCTTATATTCAGCTGCAGCATCCCTTGCAGTCCCCTCTGCCTCCACTCCCTCACTCACTCCACTACTCGCACTCCCACCCTCCTTTCCCCTCTCGCTGCTCTCTTTCTCCCCTCTCTCGCTCTCGCCCCTCTTCTCTTCTCCCCTCTTCACCTTACTCTCAACAGCAGAAGCCGCAGGAGCAGCACCAGAAGCCGCAGCAGCATCAGCAGCAGCAGCAGCAGCAGCAGCAGAAGCAGCAGCGTCGCTCGTTTCAATGTGCCTCTGTAAAACCGTCAGCGCGCGGTCAATGGTAGCAGCCTCCACTTTCTTGAGGTGCGCCTGAATGTCAGCCCGCAGCCAGTGAGCCGCCGCCAAGTCCCACCGCTGTATGTGCTTGTGCGATACGGGGCACTGCGCCACCGGCCCTGCTGCTGCCGCAGCTGCAGCCGCCGCTGCCACAGCTGCCGCCAAACCACCACTACTGCCAATTCCCCCTGCTTCCCCCCCCACCCCTGCGGCTGCCCCTGCTGCTACCGCCGCCGCTGCTGCTGCTGCTCCTTTCGCTGCTCTTGACCCGACTTTGAAGCTGTCCCCTGAGGTCACACTTCTGCTCCTCCCCATGCTCCTCCTCCAGTCCCCACTCCTCACTGACACCAGCCTCCGATCCATACTCGCCCCACCCCCACCGCCAACCCCTGCTGTTGCTCCTTCTCCTGCTGCTGCTGCTGCTGCTACACCCCCATCACCACTTTCTCCACCACCAACACCAGCAGCAGCAGCAGCAGCAGCTCTCATTGCATCTTCCCCACCTACGGATCCTCCCGCCTCCTTCTCCCTCGCACCCTTGCTACCCAAACTCTCCCTGCCCCCCCCAGTCGCCCTCACACATGCAATGTACGCCTCGATGGCCGCGCGCTCAAACACCACCCCACTCTCCACCAGCACCACCGGCTGCTGTAACGGTAACCCTGTCAGCGCGCACCGCAGCTCCGCCTTCACCTCTCCAGCCATTTCCTGCTGCACCTGCAGGGCCAGGCGAGGCAGGACGGGGCCCTCAGGGGTCTCCACGGGGCGCTCTCCCGTGGTGGTGGTGGATTCCTGGCCCGAGTGGGACTTGTTGCTGCTGGCTGCTGCTCTGTGTGCTGCTTTCATCGACGCCCATTTCCGCATGCGCTGCCCTGCTGCTCGCCGCGCTGACACTGCTATTCCACTGCTACCACCTCCACCGCCACCGCTGCTGCTGCCGCCGCCACTGCCACTACCACTGTCACTGCCGAAACCAGCACCGGTACCAGCAGCAGCAGCAGCAGTGTCGGCGCCAAGCCACCCATTATCCGTGGCTACACTTGACCCTCCAGGTGATGCCAGTCTGCCTGACGAACTGAAGCGGCTCTCCCTCGCACTGCCTCCCAGGGAACGCTCCCTGCTGCTCAATCTGCCGCCCTCTCTCCTGCTTCTGCTGCCTAGAGCTCCCAGAGAGGCAGAGGCAGTGGCTGTGGCTGTGGCTGTGGCTGTGGCCGTGGCAGTGGCAGTGGCAGTGGCACTGCTGGCAACGGTGCGGCTAGAACCAGCCTCTACTCCTGCAGCCGCAGCAGCAGTGCCTGGGCTGCTGCTTGCGTCGCTGGTAGCAGCAGGCAGGATATCACCCGCAGATGCAGCAGCAGCTTCAGCAGCAACAGGAGCAGCAGGAGAAGCAGGAGGTTCTTTGAAAGAGGTAGACGGGCGGCGCAAGGGAGAGGAGGAGATCCCAGCTGCAGCAGCGGACAGGGCGTCCGCTGCAGAAGCAAACGCAGCGGCAGCAGCAGAACCAGACAGCGGTGCTGCTGCTGGTGATGGTGGCTCCCCTGCAATAGACCCCGTTTCTTTCAAGCTGTTACTGTGTGGGTGCCGCAGCACCAACGTACCTCCCTCCCCTCCCCCTGCACCAGCACTCTCTCCCGCTTCTTCTCTCCCCACTCCCTCCTCTTTTCCGCCTGCGTCCGCCCTCATTCCGCTGCCCAGAATCGCCGCCAGGCTCCGACTGTTGAAACTACCCCCTCCGCCCATGGCATTGCGGTCAGTGCCCGGTGCAGCACCCGCACCCACACCACCACCGCCGCCTGATACAGAAGCAGAAGCGGCTCCCGCCGTTTGAGAGAGGAGTAGCTGTGGCGGTTCCACAACCCCTACGTGCGTCTGTACGATGGTCAAGAGGCACTCCAGCGCTCTTAGTCTCTCCACGTCGTGGATCCTCTCTTCCACCTCCTTGGCTAGCGCTAGATCGGAGTGCACCTCCTGTAAGAGAATCGCAACCGGTAATGCTAAGGGGGATCGGGCACTGCTACTCTCCTCTTGCTGCTGCGCCTGCTGCTGCTGCTGCTGCTGGTGCTGCTGCTGGTGCTGCTGCGGTTGCTGGTGCTGGTGCTGGTTATGCTGGGCGCCTTTTCGCTTCTCTGCCTCCCTATGCTGCTCTCCCACATCCCTCTCCATGCCTCCTCCCCCACTAACCCCCTCCGCTCCCTTTCCCCCGCCCCCGCCCCCGCCTGTACCCCCGCCTGTGCCCCCGCCCTGCCCCCCGCCGATCTCGCTTAGTCCCAGGTGCGCAATCACTTTCGACAGCGCCTCCTGCCCGTCGCCATACGCGCGCGCGGCGGCGGCGGAGACGGACCCGCCTCGGGTGCTCACGAGTCCGCCCACGATCCCCGTGCTCATCACTGCGCGCTTCAGCAGCGCGCACAGCTGCGCCACCTCTGGCTCCGCCTCGAACGACGCGGACTGCATGCGCGCGCGCAGCTCCGCCAGCCTGGCGGCGTCCGCGGGCACGAGGCACGACGACATGAGCGACAGCAGCGCGGGCTGGCTCAGCGCGTCCCCCACCGCGCGCACCATGCGCTGGAGCGCCGCCATGCGCGCGGCCGCGTCTAACAGGAGCAGCAGCCGCGCAACGCGGCAGGCCTCGCGGGTGGCGTCGCGGAGCGCCATGACGGTCGTCTGGAGCTCCTCCAGCGCCGCGCGCGCATCCGCGGGGAGAAGGGGCTGCTGCCGGCCGCCAGCGCCAGTCGCGCCGTCGTCCGCGGCTGAAGGTGCGGCGCTGGCGTTATCCTTGTCTGCACCGTCACCGCCTGAGCTGGCGGCGGCGGCGGAGGCGGAGGCGGAGGCGGCGGCGCTGGTGACTTCCGCCTCGCCGCTATCGGCGCCTGCTGCGGCGCCGGTGACGGAGCTATTGCTCCCCCTGTCGCCGCCGCCGCTAAAGGTAACGGAGGGCCCGGATATCGCGGGCCCGACATCGGACGATGTGACTGTATCGGAGCTGGCGGACAACTCGCGCCTCCATTCCGGCGAAGGCGCCACGACCTCACTCTCCTCGCCTATACTCGCGGACCGTTTCCCCTTGCGCCCCGCGAACATGGACGCGGGGAGCGCAAAGCGGCTTCTCCGCGCGCCTTTCCGACCGCGCACTTGAACCTCCGCATCACCCGCAAGCAGCTCCTGCTTGTTCTCCGCCGCTGCTGTCCCCCCAGCCCCGCCAGAGTTCCCCCCGCCGCTGCTGCCGCTGCTACCGCCGCTGCCTCCGCTCCCCCCGCTTCCGCCGCTGTTTCCCCCACCGCTGCCACTTAGAGACCTCCAGCCGACGCTGATTCCCCGCAGGCTGGCGTGCGAGAGCGCGTCGCGCAAGTCGTTAAGGTAAAAGGCCATGGTGATGAAATTAGAGCGGTCCACGGGCACGCGGGGGGCGACGCGACGGGTCTCGTCGATAATGCGAACCATGTTGTCTACGAGACCCGCGAGGGATGATACCCGGTGCACGCGGGAACGAAGCCGCTGCTGTCGCCCCATTGCGGCGTGCTGTAGAGCAGCGGTAGATGTTTTTTTTTCTTCTAATTAAGAGTATGAGATAAAATAAGGCGGTGTCTTGGAGATGTATCGCGCGAAGTCCGTGAGATTCCCCCTTCGCGCTAGTACGAGTTTTTTTACCAATACACAGGAAAACTGAGGGAGGAGCAACACGGTTATTTAAATATAGCCATCCTGGGACGACCGATAGGGAGGATGACAGAGAGAGAAACAACGGCTGCGCTGCATTACGTGCAGCCGCACGGGGGGAAGACGGTGGGATGAAACCCTAACTGGCTCCTCGCTGTTATCCCCTTGCCTCTACGCACCTCCTAGGGCAAGAAGGAGAAGAAATGCGAGACGAAAGAGCAATGCCTCCTTGGACGATGCCATTGCGACGTGGCAGGGGGAAGAAAGGACCAGACCAGGGCTAAGCTTGCAAGCAAGCAATCTCGCCTCCAGACTTCGCAGCGGCAGCACTGTTTCTATGGCGGCCAGAGAGGCAACTTTTCGGAGTCTGTCACGCTATCGGTTCCTGAGCGTATTGAGCAATGCAATCAACATGTCTCCTCTCCTCGCAGGCACCCCTGCTCCGTGTTGCTCTTTCTAGCGCGTGGGATGGAAAGACTGACAGGGCAAGATGACTGAACTGAACTCTACTGTACTGTACTGCAGTACAGTATTGCCTGGGGGGAATGGGTTGGTTGGCAGACGGATGGGGATGGGAAGGGAGTACGATGAGCGAGGCCAACGAGGAAATCGTGCACTTCGATGAAAATTAAAAATGGTTCAAAACGGTCGACCCTTTTTTCCCGCGATGTATGGCATGCCCTTGTTACCCAAAACGATCGACCCCCCCGACTGTACCCGTTTTCGTGTTGGGTTCAGATGCCACTACTTTTTTTTGGAGCAACTGGTTTGGGCAACTGTGTAGGGTCCAATAAGGAGTAATACGACAAAAAATGACAGCACATTAAAGCCGTTGACCCAAATTGCGGAAATTTCCTTTCAAGTTTATTAATATTGAAACCCCCCGATTGGTAACCCAGTTCCCCAGAGCGAAAGCAAAAATGAAAGTTGCAAAAAAAAAAAGACGGGGAACAGTTTATAATCTTGCGCCACCCCCAGCTGATTGTGCCCCTACCCCCGCCACACCAGGCGTTTGAGCGGAAAGAAACTTGAACTTCCCTCCATTTTTTTGGAACTTTTCGGAGTGCAAACCCAGCCCAACGTCACTACGCCCTAGGCAGCAAAAACACCATGCACAGTACACACCAGCTTTTATTAAGGCGCGGTACAAATTGTTTTAAGTGAGGTACGCGACTTGAACTCGAAAAAAATATAATCTTGAATAGCCTTCTTGATCGCGTTGAAAACAGTCTAAACGTCTACAACCGCATCAGCTGTTCAAATTTCAGTTTGAATATATAATCATGATATGAGGTATACCATGCCTTGATATACGCAAATCGAGTTGCTTGGCGATTTCAAGCGAGTTGCGCAACTCGGCCAGGATGCGCAACCCAGAGTTACGTGCCCTTCCTTCCCGCTGTTTCCAGTGTTCCACGCTGTGCCGTGCATCACTCTGACCATGTATTCTTCCCCCACTCCCCCCTGCGCCTTGCACGCGCCCCTACTTTCCTTTTCCCCACCCTCGATTTCCCCCAATCGTTGTTTGCGAATGTTTTGGTTCTGTCAAAATTTGTATGCTCGTTCTGATTGGTTTTTGTAGTATATTATGTTCGCCCGCTCTCGTCACCCTTATACCACTCCTTCACGCCCGTGTCCTTTCTCCAGCTCAATTTTTTGCCCTATTCATCTTTATTAATCTTGTACATTTTAGGTCAACGGCTTTAAGGGCTGCGGCATTCGAAAAAAGCACGCGCAATCATTTTGGGCACAACATCCGGATTTGGACAAAATATTGGGTGAGGCTTTCACAGAACTTGGATTCCGATGGGGATTTTTTTCTAAAAACAGGGTTTGAACCCGGATTCTGACGGTTGAATTTTGGCAGAACTGGCTGTGAAACCCGGATTTGACGGGTGAATTTTGACAGAACAGAGTGCTGAACACGGATTCTGACAAGTAGCTTTGGCCAGATACCGGGATCTGACAGGTGTGCGGCAAAAATTAAATGCATGTTCGCGCAACAATTGAATTGGCATCCGGCAAAGGTTTTCACAACGACCCAAAAATAAATTTCAAATATTCGGCACATCAAGAGGAAAACGGGTACAGACGAGGGGGGTCGACCGTTTTGGGTAAAGAGGGCATGCCATACATCGCGGGAAAAAAGGGTCGACCGTTTAAAACAATTCTTGATTTTTGTCAAAGTGCGCGATTTCTTCGAGACCGACCGTAAAAGTCTGTCAGTCACAGTCATGCGACTCACGTCACGTCACGTCCACTCGTAACTCTCTAGGCCGTCTTGGGATCTTCGCGGATTTGCGTGGTAAGTTGGTAACCCGCCGCACAAGCACACATCAGTCGCCGCCACGCCAACGCCCCGCCCATATCGCCAAATTGTGCCACTTGCGCTGAATGGATTGCACTGCACTGTGCTTGCGCACCTCTCTCTCTCCTCCCCCGACTCCGTGACTGACTCCCCGACTCCCCCCTTCCCCCCCGCCCTCACCCGATCGACCAACTGTCTTCGTCATGTCCAACCAAACAACGAGGCTTGTCGTTTGGCCGCTTTGTGAGGACCACGATCTTGGCGTCGCGCACATTGTTGCAAACTGTTACGGAAACGGCGTCGTTATTCTACTAGCTTCATTTAACTAGACTAGCCCTAAAAAGGCAATGTTTGAGGGCTCAAGGTCCAATAATGATGGCTGTTCACTTCTAACCTTGAGATTTCGCCAGCCAGTGATTGAAGAACCAGAACAAGCCTCATGCATGAGCATGCCCGGTTTTGTGAAGAGGAATCAAACTCCAGCTAGGAAGGCAACAAAGCTGCTGACGTGCATACACATGCTCATTGCCCACCATCTCCTAAATAACTGATAACAGGAGCTTAGAAAAAAATCGCACGAGGGACTCGTGCCTGGCCGGGAAACACACAAGCACAGCTCCAAAAGTGAACGGTAGGCTCCTCTACTCGTGCTGCTCCTGAAATTCTCATGATATGACGAGATGTCACTTATGGCAAGCACTTGATTCTCTGGCAATTAATACGGAAAGTTTGAGTGGTGGAAGCACACGGGGAAAGAAAGGTGAGCAAGGTTGAATGGAGGGAGAGGGACATGGGAGAGATAGAGAAAGAGGGAGAGGGGGGGTGGAGGGGGAGAGAGGAGAGGAGAGAGAAATAGACTGAGTAAAGACCACAGGAGCAAGCAACCAACCACAACAAGAGCAAGCAAGATGAGAAGGTGGGGGGGGGAAGGGGGGGGAGTGGAGGGACGGAGAGAAAGTTATCCGCGACACGAGCATACACGGCACGAGCATACACGGCACGAGCATACACGGCACGAGAGTTATCCACGACATGGCATGCACAGCGTGCGCATGCATGGTGAAGGACTCACGGTGCGTTGCAGCTCGTCATCCATCTGCACTAGCTTCCTCCTCAGCAGCTCGCGGTCCTCGTGGCAGATGGGGTCAGGGACAGCACCAGGCAGATCTGCGCACATTGCCACACAGACATGGTCAGTTTCGACATGCTTGGATTTCCAGCCATACATGGAGTTTTGACCATACTTGATCAATTAGCCGCACAGGAACACACGCAGGGCGATTGAGAGATGTGTAGACGAACTGTAAGTACTTTCAGCATGCATTGCGACATGTTTGTGCGTGCATGGGAGGGGAGCACGGTTGAGCTAGAAATGCAGACACATTCTCATGCTGTGGTAAGCACATGGCCAGAGCCAGGAGGGGGGTTGCACTGGCACAGAAGAATATGCATACATTTATTCTACATATGTAGCATGTGCGGCAAAAATAAGGAGGTTCACTGCAAACATGGAAACTTGGCTAGGCAAATCCATGCAAACGAATGGGCATGGGGGAATGGGCATGGGGGAATGGGCATGGGGGAATGGGCATGGGGGAATGGGCATGGGGGAATGGGCATGGGGGAATGGGCATGGGGGAATGGGCATGGGGGAATGGGTGGAGAAGAAGGTGAGGTGGCACTCTTGGTCATGGGGTTATTTGTAAATGGACCACTTACCATACACATAGGTTGCTAGAATGGATATACGACTCAAAGGCTGCGGAGTTATGCATTGCATTGCATGCATCACACACATGCATGCATGCACGAGGACGCACATGCACGCGAACTCACACACACATGCATTTGTTGCACTCACGCACACACACATGCACACACACACACACACACACACACACACACACACACACACACACACACACACACACACACACACACACACACACACATTAGTTGCCCCACACACGCACATTCATTGGTAAACACACGTCCAAGAAAAGAGCCAGCACAGGAGGGAGGAGGAGAGCGAGGGGAGCAAGTCAGGAACTGACAGGGGAGAAGAATAAAGCGGACAGCGCAACTACGAAAACGCATTGAGGCATCGGCAAAACGCGAATGTCCGTTTAACCCTCCTGCTGCTCCCCACAAGTGTCCTGTCCTCTCTGCTGCTGTGGCGGCTGGCCAGCAAGCCAGAGGCACTAGTGTCATGACCTGACGACCACCAGGCTCTCACTTCAGCCCTCATTCGGGCCTGATTAGGCAACGACTCCACCCATTGCTAAGGAGGGCTTTCTTGGTCCCCCCAGCCCCCCCATCCTCTCACACCCCTCTGACCCCACCCCACCACCAACTCAGTCCCCCCTTCCCCCGCACAGCCTCTCTCTCTCCCCTCTTCTCCCCACTCCCCCTTCCCCCCCACCCTGGCACTCCACTGGGTCCCCCCTGTGAGCTGACCATGACAAAGATCCCCTCTGTCCTTGTTGGTAGCGCCTCCATCCGAGCCAGCACCTCGTCCCCTGCCGTTAGCCGCCCAAACACCGCATACTGCCGAGCAGACAGCGGGGGCATGGGAGAGAGGGGGCGGGCGGGAAAGGGTGGGCGGGAGAAAGTGGATGGGAGGGAAAGGATGGGAGAGAGAGGATGGGAGAGAGAGGACGGGAGAGAGAGGACGGGAGAGAATGGGGAAAAAGGGCGCATGATTGTACCTGCCTCAAATCACATGCCTACCTCTGTACCCAGGATTTCCATGAATCTGAAGGACCGCTTGAGGATGGGAGAGACGGACCGAGAGGAGAGGGGGAAAGCTAGAAATTGAAGCTTTTCAAAAAAACCCCATCAACAGACCTCCATGGCTTGAAGGATACCCAACAATGAATGAACCGCCATGACTTGAGAGAATGAGAGCACGAGGGCATGAGAGCACGAGAGCACGAGAGCATGAGAGCATGAGAGCACGAGAGCATGAGAGCATGAGAGCACGAGAGCATGAGAGCATGAGAGCATGAGAGCACGAGAGCAGGAGAGCATGAGAGCATGAGAGCATGAGAGCACGAGAGCACGAGAGCACGAGAGCATGAGAGCATGAGAGCATGAGAGCACGAGGGCATGAGAGCACGAGAGCACAAGAGCATGAGAGCATGAGAGCATGAGAGCATGAGAGCATGAGAGCACGAGAGCAAGAGAGCATGAGAGCATGAGAGCATGAGAGCATGAGAGCACGAGAGCAGGAGAGCACGAGAGCATGAGAGCATGAGAGCATGAGAGCATGAGAGCATGAGAGCACGAGAGCACGAGAGCACGAGAGCATGAGATCATGAGAGCACGAGAGCATGAGAGCATGAGAGCATGAGAGCATGAGAGCACGAGAGCATGAGAGCATGAGAGCATGAGAGCATGAGAGCATGAGAGCACGAGAGCATGAGAGCATGAGAGCATGAGAGCATGAGAGCACGAGGGCATGAGAGCACGAGAGCACGAGAGCATGAGAGCATGAGAGCATGAGAGCATGAGAGCATGAGAGCATGAGAGCACGAGAGCATGAGAGCATGAGAGCATGAGAGCATGAGAGCACGAGAGCACGAGAGCACGAGAGCATGAGAGCATGAGAGCATGAGCGCATGAGAGCACGAGGGCATGAGAGCACGAGAGCACGAGAGCATGAGAGCATGAGAGCACGAGAGCATGAGAGCACGAGAGAACGAGAGCATGAGAGCATGAGAGAATGAGAGCATGAGAGCACGAGATCACGAGAGCACCCACCTTGCCATCTAGATGCGGTGCATCCCCGAGCAGCATGGAGAAGGAGGAGGTGCCGCTGTTGGGGTCGTCGTACCTGATGGGTTGCCATTGCGGACAGGGAGACGGGCACGCGGGCAAGCAGGGAATCGGGGAAACGGAGAAACGGGGAATCGGGGAAACGGGGAAGGAATCAAGAAGAGGGGAGGGACGGGGGGAGGGGTGAGGGGAAAGGTGGGGACGGGGGGATAGATGAGGGAGGAGAAAGCGGAGCAGTGTAGAGAGGCTCTTTAGAGTTAGGATGAGAGGGCGGAAGCGGAAGGGGCTATGGAGAGAGGTGATGGGGGATCAGTAGAAGGTCAAGCTGAGAGGTGCCTTGGTGAAGAGAATAGAGGAGGAGGAGGAGGAGGAGGAGGAGGAGGAGGAGGAGGAGGAGGGAGGAGAGACAATGGCAGATGCGCAAATTGCAAACCCATCCAAAAGCACCTAGTCTCTTTATCCTGTCAGTCCCCCACCCACACCACCTTTCCAACCAACCCCTTCCAAAATCCACTCCCCCTCCCCACCCCCTAAATACCGTGCCACAGAATAACCCCGCTTCGCCACAGTGATCACGCAATAGCGATTCCCTCGCCCTCCCCCCCCCCACTTCCCCCCTTCTTCTCCCGGTCCCATGGCCGTAGCAGCCAGCCACGGCGGAAATTCACACTGCATCCTTCCCCCCCTCCCCCCTTCTAGTCTTGTGTGCAGGAGTTTCAGAAGATTCCTTGCAGCTTCCTCACCGCGCCATAGAGAGCGTCCCCCGCCTGTGGGGCAGCGCGGAGAACTCCCCCGGGACTGTCTGCTCCGCCTCCCACCGCTGCTGCGCGCTCAGGGGCACCTGCCGCCCGCCCACCACGTCCGCCACCTGCGCCACGAAGCCCTTGTCCACCTGGCGCGCGCGCGGAAGGTTGGGGGGGAAGAGGGAGAGAGGGACGGGAGTGGTGAAGGCGAGGAGAGAGGGAGGGGAAAGGGAGAGGGAGGTAAGGGGGAAGGGGAAGGGGGGCGGGGGAGGGGGAGGCGGGGGGGGAGTGGTAAGCGGCGACGAGCTGGGGGGAAGACAGGGGTTGCGGAGGAGGGAAAGGAGAGGGGGGGTGCTGAGAAAAAAAGTGGAAACGGTACTACACTTGGTTGGAATAAGTACTGTACTCGGAAAAAGTGGTTGGTGGCATAGCAGCCAAGATGCGCGAGTCGAGAGATGTGTGCTACAGTGCGAGGCGCCACTTGCGGGTAGAATCCGAACTCGATGTCCCCAAACTCCGTCTGACGTGTCGGGTGACGATTAAAGCGCATCACCGCGCGCGAAAGAACAGCGAGAGGAAAAGGCCGGAAACGGAGAAGGGGAGGAGCGTGAGATTGGACGGTATGGAATGGGATAATCCGATAGGCGCCACCGCAAATATGCAATGCAAACATCGGCGGAAATGGCGGGTGACATGTGGCGGGACTGGCGTATTCCGGGTGAAATTTTCGCAATCGAAGGATTCGCGAACTAGTTCAGAAACAAGCGGATCTAGGATTCCGCCGCGCGTGGGACCTATATCTGCGACCGGTTGGAGCGCAGGACCGAAACACCCATGAGATTTGCAAGCCCTGTAAGAAAGCGGGAAAGGAGACTTAAAAAGAAGAAAAAAAGGCTCCATCTGGAAAGTAACCGGCACCACGGCACGCGAGCTACAAGTAACGGGGATGACGCCATGAGACGTCCCAAGTGCTGCTGAATTGCGACGTTTCAAGCGTCGAATTGTGGAGTATAACGGACCTGAAAGACGACTCGCTCGGTACCCAGCTGGGGCTCGATCGGGGCTTGGTTGTAGAACGCGTGAGCGCCGCGAGAAGAGAGAAAGGTAAGAATTGAGACGAGTAGCCACTTCTCTGCAATCCTGAAGTGGCAAGACATTGTGTTACTATCAGGTCCCTCGATCCTGCCGCGACACGGCCAGAGCTCGGATGGATAGCGGGAGATACCGACGGAAGGCCGACGAGCCAGACTACGTCGCATGCACGATTGGCGGAACGGTTCTAGAAAGGTGCGGTGATCGGGCTGGCTGACTGAGGCGCAACGGCAGCGAGCAGGAGTAGCCAACCTGCTCAGGGGGGTAACGAATGACCCAGCCGAGAGGGCAGTATGGTATGGTATGTGTTGTACTGTATTGTCAGTTGGTCATGCATGACTGTCGATTGGCCCAAGGTGGGGAAAATGGGGGTAGGCAAACAGAACGGAGAGGAGGGAAGAGAAGTCCCCGCGAGGCAGGGGTGGTTCACCCTGTTTTTTTAAAGGTGTACAGGTCAAGGTGGAATAATTTTGCATCACTTTAAATGGAATGGTGGTACAGTGGTACAATACGTACAGCGGTGGTGATTTCGCTAGAACCTCGCTTGACATCAGGTACCACTACACCACAACCAGCACGATTGGGGCACTTCACTGGGGTACCCTGGCGAACAAATTTTCGCAATCGTCCAATAGTGGAGTTCTCTGAGTTACCACTGATCGACCTGACGAAACAGACTTAGCACTTCGCACGCAGCGTGAAAATTCATTTCCAACCACCACCGCCGTCGCAAGGCTCGTCCCACCTTCAGGAACATCCTCTCCTTTTCGCTCACCATACCATCCCATGGCCCCTTCGCTTCCCTCCTGCCCTCTCTGTTCCCTCCACGCCACTTTTCCTCTCAACCAACCCTCCTCTTCGTCCCTTTCTTTCTCTCCCTCCCAGCAACTCCGAGTCTTCTTTATAGACTTCAGTACTGTACCCCCAGAGCCGCACACCATACCCTTAGCACAATATGGCGTCGTCAAGCGCGATTCCGATCGCACAGCTGCTCGCGGTCAATCCGTACAATCCGGAAATTCTGCCGGACCTCGAGAAGCACGTGGACGATCAGGTGGGTCGCTCGCAACAAACCAGCCGCGCTTTCGCCGATGCATGAGAGATAGGGTTTTACCACTTCCGTGAAAATTTTCCGGTGTTTTTGCTGAAATGGCAGCAGAAAACAATACGCCGGCGTCGTAGCGCCATATCTTGGTTCTTCCGGAGTGGACTGAGTTTCACCTCGTTAGATACTCGTGCGTGATTGGTTGATCGGTCACGAGATATTGAACTGATCGGCGTAGCTTGCACAGTAGCCAGTCATCCCCGTTTGAAGCCATAACGCCTGGCGGTCGAAAGGATGCGGAGAGGCACGGGGAGGGGTTCGGGGCACCTGGAGAATGGGGTAATTCAGCAGGTAGCAGCGCTGAGTCTTGAGACATTTCAAGCATGCTGACAGAGCTCGCGCCTGTAGCTCGCGTCCTGGTTCGATTGAGTTTGATTTCCAAATGTTACGGAGCGACGGATCGAGGGGAGCGACAGTGTTACAGAGCGAGAGAGGTACAAAGCGACGGCGCGACGTAGCGACAGATCCCATTCCAGTAGGCCTCGTTGTGTGCGTGGGGAGGGGAGGTATGGGGGATGCAGGCTCTGGGTTAAAGCGGAGGGATTGGAGGAAGAATGTGCCTTGTGGGGCCGTATGGCCGAGGGACCGCCGTGTGGCCCTGTAGGGCTGCAGGGCTGCAGGAGTGTAGAGAGGTAGCAACTACGGCATGCTCACAGAGCCGCAGCAACGGCCTCGTTGCGTCTTGAGCGCACCTTCCTCCGCTTCCTCCACTCCGCTCTGGTTTGCTCCGCCGACTCCGCCGACTTTGCCGATCCCCACCCTTCCCCTCTCTGACTGCGTTGTTTCCCTGCCGTGCGCGCGCGTGGCAGATCGCCAATGGAACGTACGACCTCGATGCGAACCTCACACTGCTGCGCCTCTACATGGTAAGCCCCCTCCCTCCCCCTTTTCTCCCCCCCTCTCCCCCTCCCTCCCCTCTCCCTCCCCTCTCCCTCCCCCCTCTCTCCCCCCTCTCTCCCCCCTCTCTCCCCCCTCTCTCCCCCCTCCTTGCTGTTCGCGTCCCCCGATCCCCCGCGCCTCTCTCAAGCCTTCTCGGCTCCTCCCATGCCCAGCCCCTCGTCCGTCCGCTCTCCTCGCTCCAAAGCACTCTCCTCCCGTCCCTGCCTTCCAAACGCAGTCTCCTCCGTATGCCTCCAAACTTCCTGCATGCCGGTTGTGTAGTCCCTGTCCCTCCCTCTTCTCCACCCTCGTCCGCTCTCTCTCCTCGCTCCAAAGCAGTCACTTCCCATCCCATCGCCGTTGTTCCATCATGCCTGTCCCATCATGTCTGTTCCATCATGCCTCTTCCACCGTGCCTGTTCCACCATGCCTGTCCCATCATGGCTGTTGTTAAGGGAGTCTGCTCTCCTCCCGCCCTTCCCTGCGCGTGTCTGTGTGTGCAGTTCGAGCCCGCTCGAGTGAACGTGCGCAAGATCAGCCGCGTGCTCATCAAGGTACCGTGCCACGCTTTTAGCGTGCAGGCCAGGCCCTACGCCCGATGTCGTTTGAGTCGACATGACGTTTGAGTCGACTCAAAAGTCACCTCGTGCAGCCCCTACGCCCGATGATGCCTCTTGAGTCGACTCAAATGCCGCCTGCCTAGTTGCCTGCAAGTTCAGCCGGTCTATGGTATGGCGTGCTGTAGTCGCATACCGCTCTCTCACCGTGCACACGCCATGCCACCACCTGCCTGCCTGCTTGCTCTACCCTGCTTTCCTCTCTGTCTCTCTCGCTCGCTCCCCTCCGATCTTTCCTGACCAATATCTCTCGGGCTGCATCTCATGCTTTTTCTGCTTTTATTCCTCCTCCTCCTCCTCCTCCTCCTCCTCCTCCTCCTCCTCCTCCTCCTCCTCCTCCTCCTCCTCCTCCTCCTCCTCCTCCTCCTCCTCCTCCTCCTCCTCCTCCTCCTCCTCCTGCTCCTCCTCCCCCTCCTCCCCCCCCCTCTTTCCCCCTGCCCCTCCTCCTCTTTCTCCCCTCGTCCTCCCGCCCTGCCGCCATCAGGCCATGATGGCTCTTCCTCGCACGGATGTCACTCTCTGCCTCTGCCTCATTCCCGAGAGATATGTCAGTGCCACATTGCCCTATGCCATACCATGCCATGCTGTGCCTTGCCGTGCAATGCCATACCGTGCCATGCCATTCCATATCGTGCCATCCCACACTACGGCATGCCATATTTCCCTGATCTCCGTGTTCACTTACTGGCTCCTTTCTCCCTTGCTCCGCCCTTCCCCGTCTCCCCCCCTTTGGCCCCCTCCTGCCCTCTCCTGCCCTCTCCTGCCCCCTCCTGCCCCCTCCTGCCCCTTCCTGCCCCCCTCTCCCCTTTCATGCTACATTTTCGGCGCCTCAAAAGCCTGCCCCATCTCTCTCCATTCATTCCCCACACGCTGCGCGCCTCCCTTTCTCCTGCTCCGGCGCCTGATCCTGCTCTCACAAGTCACCTGCCCTCCCCTCCCCTCCGCCACTCGTTCTCTGCGCGGCCGTGGACAGCAAATCGAGGAGCCCCTTTCCACGCTCATCGCGCTCTCGCAGTTCCTTGAGGTGCGGTACATCCATCATACGCTCCACCAGTTGAGTGACGTATGACATGATTTCCAAGGGCCCCCTTTCAGCTGTCAGTGTGTCACTGTCTGTCAGTCCGTCTGTCATGATTTTTGAATCGACTCAAAAATCATCTGAGTCGACTCAAAAATCATCTGAATCGACTCAAAAATCATCTGAGTCGACTCAAAAATCATCTGAATCGACTCAAAAATCATCTGAATCGACTCAAAAATCACCTTTCAGCTGTCAGTGTGTCACTGTCTGTCATAAGTCGAGTCCTGAGGAGGGCTGCGTTCTTGTTGTCCGCGCCTCCTGTGCTGTTGCTCGAATGGGATTCTATTTTTTTAGGCGCCTCAAAGATAGACTCCTCGCGTTCTTGTTGACCGCGCCTCCTGTGCTATTGTGTGAATGGGATGCGATCGCAGCAAGCCCCAGGCTGTGAGGCTCAGAGACAGCTCCACCAATCCTAAACGCTACATCCTGAGGCCTGCCTTCTTGTCGACCGCGCCTCCCTCCTGCCTGTGCCAAGTCGACCGTGCTTGCTTGCTTGCTTGCGTCCCCAGCGCCGCCGCACCGTGCTCCCCTTCCTTTCCGCTTCCGTCGCTCCCACCACGCCCACCCAGACCGGTCGGTCCCCCACGTCCTTTCGAGTCGACTCAACAGCCACCACGCTTGCGTCCCCCTCCCTCCCCCCCCCTCCCCAACCCTACTCCCTCCCTCCCTCTCTCCGTACCCACAAACCCCTCCTCCCCCCACCCGCAGACGGGTCGGTTCCGCGAGTTCTGGTCGGAGGTGGCGCAGCAACGGGACCTGCTGGGGGCTGTGCCGGGTGAGACATGCTGGGGACGGCCTCGAAGGGAAGGGGACCGCTGGGCTTGTTTGTTTGTGAGCTGAAGTTGGCCTGGGCTTGTGTCGTGTCACACCTTGTGCTCGTGTCACACCTTGGGCTCGCGTCGTGTCACACATTGTGCTCGTGTCACACCTTGGGCTCGCGTCGTGTCACACATTGTGCTCGTGTCACACCTTGGGCTCGCGTCGTGTCACACATTGTGCTCGTGTCACACTTTGTGCTCACGTGACGCGTCACACCTTGTGTTCGTGTCATGCCTTGTGCTCGTGTCACGCCTTGTGCTCGCCTCACACCTTGTGCCCGCCTTACAGCCTCTGCTCGCGTCTGCTGTGAGGTTGAGCCCGTTCCCTGGTTTGTGTCAGTACCCATGCCACCAAGCCAACCAACCAGCCAACCAACCTTATTCATTCCTGGCTCTCCCTTGTGCCCACCTGCATGCATCCTGGGCTCCATCCCGACCTGCGCCCACCGGCCAGGCTTCACTGAAGCCATTCAGGCGTACGCGCTGCATGTGCTCGCCATCTCACACCGCCGCGTGCCCAGAGAAATACTGGCTGAGGTGAGGCGCGGTGCTAGAGAGTTAGGAGCGGTGCGAGAGGGTGAGGAGCAGCAGTAGAGGTTAAGGTGAGGAATGCTGGGTGTCTTGTGGAGTGGGGTGGTGGGAGAGGAATGGGTTGATGATGCAAGGGGGTGGCTGTTGGGGTGGTATGGTCTATTGCCTTCCCTTTCCAACTTTCAGCGCCGCCGCCACACACAGCGACGATTCCATACCATGCTATGCCATGGGTACCATCGTACCACCGTACCACCGTACCACCGTACCGCACTGCACACACTTGGATGTCATTTCTCACTGGCCCATCACCACACCCCATGCACCAGCAGCTCCAACCTCCGCTCCACTCTGCTCCACACTCCTCCCACACTTTCTGCCCATCTTTCCCAGCCAGCGCATCGAGTAAAGCAGCCGCTGCATTTAGGGCTGTGCTGATTCCCACCCATCCCCCCACCCATCTCCCCGCCCAACCCCAACCCCCCGCCCAACCCTTTGCCCATACCCCCGCCCATCCCCCGCCAATCCCTCCATCCCCCCACCCATCCCTCCATCCCCCGTGTGTGCAGGCCATCAACATGAACGGGCCGGCATTGGATGACTTCATTCAGCACCACGTGGAGGCCAGTGGTTGGATGGTGGCACCAGGGAAGACCGGGCAGGTGTGTATTGGGCAAGGGGGGCGAGGGGGGGGGAGGAGGGGGTGGGGGGTGGGGGAGCATGGGTATGCATGTCTCTCCTTCCTTCCCTTACTTTTCGTTCGTTCCTTTCCCTTGCATGGGAGTGGTTTCTCTCACTGGAATGCAGGATCAGGGGACCTAAATCACTACTGTCCTCATGAGAAGCTCTCCTGTCGATGTGTTACGTGTAGCTCTGTGCCCCTGCCCAACTGCTCCTGTGTTCTTGACTGCGTGCTCCTTCCGTTATGGCCGCATTGGTCCCTCCCAACTCAAGGTCGCCTGGGCCCTTGTGTCTTGCTCTCTCCCTTTGCTCATGTGTTTCTTTCTCCTGTGCCGTGTACTGTACCTGAATCTGTGTGCGTGTGTGTGCGAGTGTGCACATGTGTGTCCATGTGTGTGCGTGTGCGTGTGTGTGCACGTGCGCGCGCTTGTGTGTGTGTACGTGCGTGTGCGTGTGCGTGCGTGTCTGTGCGTGTTTGTGCGAGTTTTTGCCTTGTGTGCGTGTGTGTGTGTGTGTTGTGTGAGCACATGTGCGTGTGCATGTGCTTGTGTGTGCATGTGCGCGTGTGTGCATGTGTGTGCGTGCTTGTACGTGTGTGCTTGTGCTTGTGCCTGTGCCTGTGCTTGTGCCTGTGCCTGTGCTTGTGCCTGTGCCTGTGCTTGTGCCTGTGCCTGTGCCCGTGCCTGTGCCCGTGCCCGTGCCCGTGCCCGTGCCCGTGCCCGTGCCCGCGCCCGCGCCCGTGCCCGTGCCCGTGCCCGTGCCCGCGCCCGCGCCCGCGCCCGTGCCTGTGCTTGTGTGCGTGTGCGTGTGTGGGCGAGAGAGCAGGTGGTGGAGCTACCGAGCAACATTGATGCGCAGGCGGCATCAAGGGGGTTGACGGAGTCCATTCCTTTGGACCACGTGGCTCGCCTCTTCCCCATCCTCACATGACCAATACCTACATCAACATCAGCATCAACTTACTGTAGACCCACACCGGCAGCATCAACACGTAGTATAGAAAGGTAACAGTAGTTTTGTTTGTTGACAATCATTGCGATTACGATTCACAAGGAATTGCATTGCGGTTCATGAGGCGATGACTCCTTATTCATACCTCGGAGAGGCCTTCCAAGTGCATTGGAGATGGCACCTTGAGAACAACCCAAAGGAAAACTGAGCTCACATCATGTCCCAGCATGGTGTACAGTACAGGCATGGGTGTGGTGGATGGGGAGGGGAGTGAGGCGATGCGAGAGAAAAAATGAGAAATCTGTACCCATACCAAGGTGCAGTGCAGTGTCAACATATATTTTGTAAATGTTTTAGGCTAGATAGGTGCATGCTCATATAGAGTTCAACACCTTAGGTTATATTCCCTGTACCCCATCATTCTAGTCAACTTTTTACTCTTAGATGGTATCACGCTAGGTTAGGATCCCGCCCACCCGCGCTTCCGCCCTCGTCCTAGCCCTAGCCCAAGCTGCCCGTCGCTAGCCGCCGCTAGCCACCCGTCGCCCGTAGCCGCCGGCTGCCCGCCGCCCGTCGCCCGTAGCCTGCTGGCCGCCTGTCCCCGCTGGCCACCTGTAGCCGCCAGCAGCCCGCAGCCGCCAGCCCGCTGGCCGCCCTTAGCCATCAGCTGCCCGCCGCCTGTTGTCAGCAAATAGGATTGGGGCAGACCTAGGTTGGTCACCTAAGTCAGTGAGCAAGAGTGTCAGCTAGCGAAGCTCCTGAGCGGCCATAGCCCCAGCGTAGATCTCTGCCTCACAACTGGACTGAGCTACAGACGACGACCTGGTGGACCTCCAAGAGACTGCACCAGCACCAAGACTAAAACAGTAGCCCTGAGACGACCTGAGGGTCTCCACGTCGTCAGCCCACAATGCGTCTGTGTGTCCAGTGAGCACCACTGGCTCCCATCCTCCTAGCACAAACCCAGTCCTGATGTACTCGCCAGATACTGCAGTACCCTCTTGGCAGCTGACAAGTGGATTGGTCGGTGCCTGCCTGTCGCAACAAAGCGAGCCAAGAGACTTAGAGGGTACGCTAGATCTGGTCGAGTGCAGGTCATCAGGTACATAAGACACCCCACCAGCTCTGTGTATGGACCACTAGCCTCGACCGGCTCAGCTGGAACAGGAGCAGAGAGCTTGTGATCCACAGTCAGAGGGGTGGGCTGTGCTGAGGAGAACTAGAGACTGAACCTCTTGAGGATCTGCTGCACCACATGGGACTGAGAGAGTGTGATCATGAGCAGCACGGTCACGAGAGATCTCCAAGCCCAGATAGCGCCTCAGCTCCCCCAAGTCTGTACAGGTGTGTCTCCTAAGCAACACGGCCTTCATTGAGGCTAGTGCCACTCTCTCACGAGTAGCAAAGATAAGATCGTCTACGTACAGTAGAATGTAGAACGGTGTCTGACCCGTGCGAACAAAGAGAGAGGGGTTAGTAGAGGACGGAAAGAACTGCAGCTCAGCAAGTGTGGTGCGAAGCGTGTCGTGCCGCTCACGGGGTGCCTGACGAAGGTTGTAGATAGGACGACGCAAGCTCCACTCGGTCCCAGATGGGAAGGAACCAGAGAAGCCTAGAGGGCGCCGGAGGTAGATCTGCTCATGTAGACTACCCTGCAGGAACGCTGTGGAGAAGTCGAGTGAGTGAAGCTTGTAGTCACGCTGCCCGGCTATGTGAAGAAGGACCCGAAGAGTAGTCATCTTCGAGGTCGGGAAGAAGGTCTGGAAGAAGTCCACACCCTCATGCTGACTGAAGCCTCTAGCCACGTAACGCGCCTTGAAATTCGGCGGCTCTCCAGGTGCGCGCTTCACCCTGTATATCCACATGCCATCAACTACGTTTGCCCGAAGCAGGGAAACTGTGTCGACGTAAGTGCCTGTGGATCTGTAGAATGCCATCTCAGCCTCCATGGCCTGACTCCACTGGGCTTCCCAGGGCCCCCTCATCGCCTCAGCGTAAGAGCGTGGAACAGTGATATCGAGAGCGTCTGGGTCGCCCTCTGGGGATACAAGCTTGGAGCAGAGATGGGGAAAAGCGGCAGCAAGGCGGGCCAACTAATACTGCATGTTCTCTACCACGTCACTGCTAAGGGCAGGTGCACCCCCGACGGACGGAGGACGGACAGTACCAGAGACCAGAATGGCAGCGTAGTCAAGGCGGTGGCTAGCAGCGAAGTCAGCGACAGCAGCGACAACCGCATAAACAGTCTTAGGAGGAGTAGTAAGGTCAGTGACAAGCGACGCAAGCAAGCACGAGAGGGTAGGACGAGCAGCGAGAGCAGTGTCGAAGCGAGGAGGGGGGAACGACGGAAGCGACGGCGTGGGAGGCAACGGGAGGACTATGACTAAAGGAGCATGCGAAAGAAGAACCATAGGGTGGACACTAGGACGAGGAGAGACAGGACAAGCACCAGAGGGGTGACAGACCCAGTGGGAAAACACTGGGGACTGGGGACGAGGGGGAACGGGGGACAAGTCTGGGGACGGAGGGGAGCACGGGGGAAAGCGAGCCGAAGAGGAGTCCGAAGGAGGGAACAACGGGCCGTAAACGGGGTCACGCACCGGAGGGGGAACGGGTGGGCGGACAGGGGAACCTGGAGCAAGACCAAGGAGAGGCGGATGTGCCTGCTGCTGCGGCTGCGCCTGCTACTACGGCTGCTACTGCTACCGCGGCTGCCGCTGCGGCTGCAACTGCTCCTTGTCCTCTCCAGGACCTCCAACGGCACCGTGGCTGCCACCGGCACTCCCCGAACCAGTACCCCCAAGACTAGCACTCTGGGACGCACCATCGACAGAACCAGCACCCCAAGAGTCAGCACCCCCAGAACTCGCACCCCTGGAACCAACACCCCCAACACCACAACCTCCAACACCAGAACCCCTAAAACCCACTGCTCCCTGCTGCGGCCGCTGAGGCTGCTGCGGCGGCTGCTACTACTGTTGAGGCAAAGGGGGAGGTGGCTAAGGTGACAAGGGTACCGAGGCTGGGGGAAGCGCCACAGGGAGAGTAGGGGCGCCCCCAGCAGCTGGGCCCCCAGAGTCAGCCGACTCCTCCACAGGCGCAACCGAGGGGAACTGAGTGGCGTGGGAGACACCAGACTGGGCCGGGCGGGGCGGGAGGGGAGCGGCAGGCGGGTCAGGGACAAGAAAGAGAGGAGGAGGAGGCACAGGAGTGCTACGGTGCTGGAAGCGACGGTAATAGTGGAGCGTCTCATTGAAGGTAACATCACGAGAGTGGTAAAAGCGGTGGTGGGACGGGTGGTAGAACAGCCAGTCAGAGGCGTCAAGCGGAAAACCCAAGAAGACACAAGGAAGGGTGAGGGCTGAGAGCTTGTGCACGGGAGTATCGCGGACGTGAGCGAGGCTGCCCCAGACGTGGAATGCAAACGTGTAACCAGGAGACCCAGTCCAGAGGAGGGTCGGCGAAACCTGTGGCCGTTGGGAGCACGGTCACAGGTTAAGCTTGTGAGCAGCAAAACGCACAGCAAACGGCCACAAAAAATGGGGTGCACTGGCGTGGACCATGGAGGTGCGAGCCACCTCCATGATCAGGCTGATGCATCGCTCAGCGACCCCATTCTGCTGTGGGGAGCCTGGTAGGATGTACGTCTGGCGGATGCCCTCTGCATGGCAGAAACGTCCAAGAGTGCCTGATGCGAACTTGCCACCGCGGTCAGAGTGTAAGCGACCTACAGGCAGGCAGTGGTAGGTGCGATCAGCAAGAAGCTAGGGGAGGAGAACGGTAGGCACGTTGGCCTTCCGCTCCAGCGGGAACACTGTGGTGAACCGCGAGAAATCGTCAACGATGACTAGGAAGTAGCGCTCCCGACTAAGACCATGGACCGGGGCAGGGCCCCAGATGTCCATGTGCAGTGTCTATAGCGGTGTTGTGTTAGGAGGAAATGAGGAGTGAGGGGCAGCGCGCTGCCGGCCCTCAACGCAGGAGGTGCACAGTGGCGCTACCAATGGAGGCAGGGCGGGAAATGACGCAGGGAGACCAGTGACTAGACCGTGCTGGGACATGTGCCTAAGGCGCGGGAGCGCAGGGTGACCTAAGCAGTGGTGCCACAGGCGGGTCGGGTGGGCTAGTGAGCGAGAAGAGTAGGACGCGGTGACCTCGGAAGACGCAGTAGCCGGCGGAGACTCAGTGTGTAGTGTAAAGAGACCTGACCTAGGGTCACGCTCAAAAGTGGCTAAGTGTCGACCGGTGGCTGTGTTTGAGCAAGCGGGGTGCCTCTTGCGGCTAGGGAACGTAGTGGTGATGCCTCGATCCTGTATGTAACCGACACCCTACTAGGTTCCTTGCAAACGAGGGGATGTGCAGACCGGTGAGGGAGCCAGAAACGACAGCTGGACAGGGAAGAGTGGTGGTGCTACGTGCAACAGCCGTGGCGGAGGAGTCTGCTAGTGCGACGCTGACAGGCGCAAGAAGTGGGGTGAGAGTAGTACTGTCTCGAAAAAAACACCAAGATGCGCCAAAGTCTAGGACAAATGAGAGGGTCGACGAGGCGGAGCCCAGTGAAGAGTCTCTAACAGGTCCTACGCCTGACGTGGCAAGGGAGTCTACGCCTGACGCAGCAGGGGATCCTAGACTACACACAACGGTAAGTCCAAGGCTACAAACAGCAGGATAATAAGAACTAGCACCACTAGCTAGCCAGAGATAATAAGAACTAGCAACAGCAGGATAATAAGAACTAGCGAGGATAGCCAGCCAGAGTGCGCGGGCTGACGCAGCACCCACAAAGTGGGAGTGCTCGTCAACCAGCTGGCACCTGAGGATGGCGACGCAAGCAGTGGCATTGCGGGACGCCCAGATAGAGTAGGCAGTACGAGCAGCAGTGTGCACAGCCTGCTGAGTAGATGTCGCGTCAGGAGCAAGAGCGCCCGGGCGGGGGACAGCAGGGAGCTCACCAGAGACGTGGGCGTCCAAGGACTCATTATCGACGCGCTGACTCGTGAGCTGAAGGAGAACTGCCTCCTGCCAGGCAGCGAAACCGACTGCCCGCCCCTCCCCATCCAGGCGCAAGACAAAGACGCCGGGCGACGCCATGCTAGCAGCTGCGTCCGGAAAGACAGAGGCAGCAGAAGTTGGGACAGCGAGGGCAACCGGGATAGGGGCTGCAGTGGGAGCCGGTGGTAGCGACGGCTGCTAGCTAGCAGCGGGAAGGTAACGGCGGTGGGCCAGCAGTGAGCTGGCTAGTGGCGGCAGCTCTATGAGCTGGCTAGCAGAGGCGGCTGCGTAGCTACGGGCGAGCCGTGGCAGTGGTGGCAGCAGCAGCTGCAGTGGCAGTGGCTGCTGGCAGCAAGAGCAGCGGCAGTGGTGGCTGCAGCGGCAGTGGCAACTGCAGGA